TTTGAAGATGGGAACTATATCAGCTCTTTTCCTGTCCTCTGGCAGGGAAACTGGTGCTTAAACTGGGGCTTCTCTGCTGATATAATTTATGCTAAGGAAATCACGTTGCTGGCAACTGCCTAGGTTTTCTTTGGCAACAGATACAGAAGTGGCTTGCCAATGCCTCCTTCCTAGAGCTGAGGGGGAAAAAATGACCAGCCCAAAATTACCCAGCTAGCCCTCATGGCCAAAGAAGGATTTGAATTCAGAGTTTTCCAGCTTTGTAGCCTGAAACCAAATTGATTCTCTATAATGGCTCCAAGGAAAAGGAAACAAATTGAGCACATCCAGTAAAAAGCAACTAATCACTTATTTTGCAGTAGCAAAGAGTTCTAAAGACACATGCTATATCAGATGTTAAATAAAATTTTCATAGGAGTGTTAATTTGACTAGAATGCCCTCTAATGTATTATTAAGGATAAATCCAGATTAAAATGCAAAGGAAAATATTGAAGTTTCACACAAAAACAAAATGTCAGAGTTGTATGACACCTTAGAGGTCTTCTAGTCCAACCCCCTAATGAAGCAGGAAAATCTATCCATTTCAGACAAATGCTTGTCTAATTTCCTCTTAAAAACCTGTATTAATGAAACACCCACAACTTCTGGAGACAATCATCTTGATTAATTAGACTTACAGTCAGGAAATTTTCGTTAGCTCTAGGTTGGTTGATTAATTTCCAGCTATTGCTTATTTTTCTGTTTTTTAGTACTTTAGTACTTTTAAAACTAAGTTGATCATTCCTTTTGTGGCAGCCTGTTAGGTATTGGAATACTGCTACTATATTTGCATTTTAGTAAACTAAATACACCCATTTCCTGCAGACTAAAGCAAACAGAAATTACCTCTCTCTCTTTGTTTTTGTTTTTTTTTATGTGAGGGAAAGTAGATATCAGTGTCACAGTTCCCCACCCTTCTCAGGCAAGTGTAAGGTTGTAACTAAGCAACAAGAAAAAAAAGGGATTAAAATGAACAGAAAAAGCTGCACCCCCTTTCCTTTTCAGACACAATTACAAAGGCAGAATGAGATTTGCATTGCCTTAATATTCTGTCCAGCAGTTAATTTTAACTATGTCCCTTGGGTCTTTTGTAGGCAGGCAGGCAGGCAGGCAGGCAGGGAGACAGAGAAAGAGAGGGGGGGAGAGGGAGAGAGAGAAAGAAAGAAAGAAAAGAAAGAAAGAAAGAAAGAAAGAAAGAAAGAAAGAAAGAAAGAAAGAAAGTTCACACTCAGACATTGAACTGTTTGTTCAAATTTTAACAAGATCATCATAACCTTTTTTTCTTGCTAGCATAAGCTCTATTGTTATTTTTGTACTTCCGCTGCTTGTGGTTTCAGCTGGCATTCAGGCTCGCTAGGCTTGTGATTTGACACAGCTGATTCTTAGCTATTAGCTGCTACATACAGATAATTTTGAAACACCTTATAATTGTCCCATTTGACATATCAAGCATTTACCTTTTTGGAAACAATAGAACTCAATTTTCCTAAAAATGATAATTATTTTTTTAAATGATTATTTTCCTTATATATAACACAAGTGATCAGAGGGGAGTAGGGGACCAATGCCTCCCAATGTTCACCAAATGTACCTCTAATTATGCCAACTATTATTAAATTAAATTTCCCTCTAAATAATGTATGATAAAAGTTCTTCCTCTTGATTATGTTAATGTAAATTCTTCTATCCTTTGATTGGCAGAAAAAAGGCCAAAGTAAAATGAACTGCCCTAAGAGAACCAGTTTAGAGGCAAATACAAACCACTTCCAAAATCTTGCCAAGAAAACTTCGGGGACTAATTCAATGAGCCACTAGAGACAAAAACTGACTTGAAGGCAGCAAAATGAAACAAAACAAAAGAGTGAAGAATGGCTTAGCCAGCTTGTTTAGTGACGGGACACTCATAGGTACTGTTTGATAGTCTTTCCCTTTCCCTCAACAATTGATAGCAATGATCTGTTCTAAGCCTGGGTATTTAAATGGAAAAGTATTTGAAACATATATATATATATAATATATATATGAAAAATATGTATCTCTAAAGTTCCTGCAAAATTATGTACAGATAGTCCTCGACCTACGATCACAATTGAGCCTAAAATTTCTGTTACTTTGTTAAGTGAGTTTTGCCCCATTTTACAACCTCTCTTATCACATTTGTTAACTCAATCACTGTAGTTGATAACTAAGTAATATGATTGTTAAATGAATCTGGCTTCCCCATTGACTTTGTTTGTCAGAAGGTCACAAATGTGATCATGTGACCTCAGGACACTGCAACCATCATAAGTCAGTGCTAAGTATCTGAATTTCAATTACATGACAATGGGGATGCTGCAATGGTCTTAAGTATGAAAAACAGTCATGCCATTTCTTCCAATGCCATTGTAATTTTGAACGGTCACTAAATGAACTGTTGTAAGTCAAGGACTACTGCAGATCTCTAGTCCTTTTCACTTTGTTATATTCATGAATTCAAGCCTGAGTTATGAAAGTCAACAGGGTGACTTTGAGCCAGTCCCTCTCTCTCAACCCAACCAGCCTTACAGGATTGTTGTTGCGGGAAATAGGAGGAAGGCAGTGGTGGGATTCACTGGTTGTAACAACTGGTTCACTTCGCGTGCCCTTCGGAGGCCGGAAATGGGCCCGTTTCTAGACTTCTGGTAGGCCCATTTTTCTCCCTCTCCAGGCTCCAGAGGCTTTCCTGGACCTCCAGGAGGGCAAAGACTGCCTCCCTGGGACACTGGAGGCCCTCTGGAGGTCGGAAACAGGTGCATTTCCATACTTCCCGGTAGGCCCATTGTTCACTCTCCCCAGGCTGCAGAGGCTTTTCTGCAGCCTCCAGGAGGGCGAAAACGCCCTCCCCCAGGCTTCGGAGGCCCTCCAGAGGCTGGAAATGGGCCTGTTTTCAGGCTTCTGGTAGGCTTGTTATTCACCCTCCCAGAATTTCGGTGTGTGCCCTGCACTTACCTGGCATCCAAAACAGGCCACGTGGAAACTCTTGGGAGAGGAGGGGCAGGTTCAGCCAGTCCTTGGAACAACCAGTTCGGCGAACCAGATTAAAATTAACATCTGGATCACCTGAACTGGTGCAAACCAGTTGAATCCCACCCCTGGAGGAGGTATACTGGATACGTTCCCTGTCTTGAGTTATTTGTAAAAATAATAAAGGAGAATAGGATAGGATGTATTATTTGTAAAAATAATAAAGGAGGATAGGATAGGATAGGATAGGGTAGGGTAGGGTAGGGTAGGGTAGGGTAGGGTAGGGTAGGGTAGGGTAGGGTAGGGCAAAATAGGATAACTTTATTGTCATTTTGAATGTACACTAATCAGCATACATTAAAATGAAATTTTGTCGCATAAAGCTCTCAAAGGGTCACTATCTCCAATATACGCTAAGCATGACAAAATAAATAAATAAACAAACAAATAAATATGCATATGCCCACATATATTATATGACTCAGAGCAACAATACTATCTAGTTCTGATGTATACATGTACATAGCGAGAAAAATGAATCTTGCGAATTAACCAGACGGATGGCATAAGGAACAAAGCTGTTCCAGAATTTGGTAGTCCTGCTGGAAATACTTTGAAACCTGCTCCCAGAAACAGACCATAAAGTGGGTGTGTGGAATCTCTAACAATACTTTGAACTCTAAGCACATAGTGCTTATAAGCCGTATCCTGAATAACAGGAAGTGAGCTTCTTATAATTTTCTTGGCTGTCCTTACCACTCTCTGTATGAACTTTCTATCTTAGGCACTACTGCCGTTGAACCAAATAGTAATGCAGTTTGTTATAACGCTCTCCATCACTCTATAAAAAGTGGCCAGGATAGAAGGAGAAAGATATACTCTCCTCATCTAATGCAGGAAATGCAGACACTGGTTTGCACGCTTCAAGGATGATGTATGGAGAGACCAATTCAGATTATTAGTTAACTGCACCCCCAGATACTTAATACTATTGACCACCTCTACAGCTGAATTCTTCATACCTAATGGAGTATGACTATGCTGGCTCTTCCTAAACTCTACAATGATCTCCTTTGTTTTATTAACATTTAGAACATTTAGTCCACCAGAGTCTTCACCTCTTTCCTATAAGGAATACAAATAAAAAAATAAATAAATTCTCAAGACAACTTAATAGTACATGGTAACTTTAAAATGCCTTTTTAAAATGTTTCCTTAAGTATATGTGTACTTTCTAGTATGGATTATTGTCCATTGAAAAATTAGAAGCAACCTAACCACATAGAACAAGTGTTGGAATAAATTACACATGAACACACACACCAGCTGGTGGGAGTACAATTAAGGATTATTTTTTATTCATTACTTTAAAATATCAGGTGCTTTCAAATGGACAAAAGATGTCAGAAAATGTTTTTGTATGTACCATAATCAGTTTATCAATTACTGCTTAAATTAGGCAAAAATAATATCCGAAGATATTAGTACACTAAGCATGGCAGGGCATTCACACAATCAAATCACTAAGAGATCCCCCCCTCTCCCCCATAATTTGCAAATATACTTATCTGAACCATATGCAGGATTTATTTGAATATATGGACTCAGCTGTTCATTCTGGTTAGCCAAAATGTTTTCAGTGTAAATTCCCCTTTTATACTCTTCTTAGTCTAATTATTTAAAATATATCTCATTTTCCTTATAATTTTAAAGTGCACACATTTTGGAAATGAGCGCATTTTATGGGCACTTTCACAGAATGGATAATATAGGGCAGGATACAGCAGTATTTCTCAATCCCGGTAGACTTCAACTCTCAGAATTCCTCTGCTAATGTTTTCATCAGTAGAAAAAATGAAAGCTCTCCCTGGTAGCCTGTCTCCCTTTCTTGAACGCTCTCTATCCCCTCCATTTATCGTTCTCCTTTGTGGGGGGCGAGGGCTACTCAGGCTTCCAAACAAAGCAATGATCTGCAGCTATAGACCTGTTTATTTTTCAAACTCTCTTTCTCTCATCTAATTCTTCCAGCAGTATCTCTCACACTGGCTCTACCACAAAGACTTTCAGGAAGGCGATAGTCCGGGCAGTTTCATTTTAGGTTATCAGAAGTTTAAAGATTTAGAGTTTTCGGTTTTATTTCTTTTCTGATGCTTATCTCTAACGCGCCATCTGCAGAGTCTGTGAAAAGGAAGCCTTCCATGTCATCCTATTCCATCCCGCCTTTTCCACTCACCCGCCGGGCACTCTAAGGTTTTGCCGCGAAACTTCAACAGACTTGAGCGAGCCCGCACCAGTGCCAGCAGTACCATAGCGTCGCGGCTGCACCGAGGGAAGTGTTTGTGCTCCAAGTAAGTGCTGGGAGATGGGGGAGATGGGGAAAGGGCTCTGTTATGCTCTAGTTTTGCGAGATTCTAGATCCTAAGTGCACCCGCTCATCTCAACAGTCCCTAGACTCTTTTCCTAAGTCCCCAAAAGGAGGTGAGTGTGCTGATCTCTATCTGGTTCATTCAGAATAAGAGAGTTGAAAAGGACTTTGGAAGTCCTCTATTTCAATCCTCTCAGCAAGAGACCCTGGCCTATACCATTCCGGACAAGGGTCCCTCTACTCTAGTCTCTTAAAACCCTCCAGTGATGGACTACCCATAACTTCTGGAGGCAAGCCTTTCCACTGATTAATTGTTCTCACAGTAAGGAAATTTCTCTTAATTCTAGTTTGTATCTCGCTTTGATAAGCTTCCATCTGTTACTTCTTGTCCTGGCTTAAGGTGCTTTGGAGAATAAGTTAACTCCTCTTTTTTGTTGCAGCCCCTTAGATATTGGAACATTGCTATCATATCACCACCTAGTCCTTTTTTAAAAATTCAACTAGATATACCCAATTTCTGCAACTATTCTTCATATGTTTTGGCCTCCAGTCCCCCAGTCATTTTTGTTGCTCTTCTCTGCACTTTCTTAACATCTTTTTTTATATTGGGCAACCAACTGGATGTAGTATTCCAAGGGTGTGCTTCCAAGGTATTACAAAGTGGTACTAACAATAATGAAGACATATATGTGACTTAGGATAATGTTGCAAGATCAGATCTGGGTCAATCACCAGGATAAAAGATTTACTCTTCTGAGTTTCAGATTCATGCAAGAGCCCATCTTCAGGGAAGTTCTGTCTACTGGAATACGTACTTTGGGCAATTCTGTGGGTTGTATTTATGTGATGCCTTCCTATTGGGGGATTGGTGTGTTGGTGGTTGGCAACTGGTTCTTGTTTCCATATGCTGTCAACCCCTCGGCTGCTTATCAGTTAGCAGGGTTTTTGTTTTGTTTTTTAAATTTGATTTATATGCCGCCCTTCTCCGGAGACTCAGGGCGGCTTACAATGTGCTCAGCAATAGCCTTCATCCTTTTTGTATATTTATACAAAGTCAGCTTATTGCCCCCACAACTGGGTCCTCAATTTACCTACCTTAGAAAGGATGGAAGGCTGAGTCAACCTTGAGCCTAGGCGAGATTCGAACCTGCAGTAATTGCAGGCAGCTGGTCTTAATAACCAGCTTAATAACAGGGTGCCTTAGACCACTGTACTACCAAGGCTCTTTTTGTTGCTGATTTACCACCAGTTTATCAAGTACTTAAGAGCCAAGGACTTGGCAGCACAAGGAAACATTAGCCAATCACTAGCCATTAACTCACCAATCAGCCAATAAAAAGGCACCATATAAATATGATTCCCATAATAGCCTAAAGCATGTATTCTAGTAGAGAGAAGATTCCTGAAGACGGGTTGCAGCATGAGTCTGAAAGCTTGGAAGAGTAAATCTCTGGTCCCAGTGACCGACCCAGATTTGATCTTGCAGTCTTAACACTTTTCATGATCTAGATACTATCCCTCTGTTAATGCCTAGGGCTGCATTTTTTGTGTGTGTGTGTGTGGCTGCAACACACTGCTGAATCGTATTTAAGTGGTTGTCCACTCGGATTTATAGATCCCACTCACAGTTTCTGCTATTGAGCCAGGTATCTATTCTATACCTGTGCATTTATGTTTTCTTACCTAAATATAAAACTTTTCTTTTCTCACCATTGATTTCATGTTGTTGGATAGGGCCCACTTTTTGAGTCTGTCAAGATCCATCTGGATCCTGAGCCTATGTTCTAAAATATTGGCTAACCTCACCAACTTGCTGTCATTTAATGAGTTCCACATCTAAATTGTTCATAAAGACGTTAGAGAATACTGGACCTAAGACAGAGCCTTGGGGTACTCCACTGCATACTTCCCTCCATGTAGCTGTAGTTCCATTAAGGACTACATGTTGAATGCGGTTGGTCAGCCACTTACAAATTCATCTGGTGGTGATGCTGTCTATGCCACATTTTTCTATCTTACCAAGTGGAACATTGTGGTCTACTTTGTCAAACAGCTTTCTGAAGTCCAAATATATTGCTGGTCCACTAATTTAGTAACTCAAAGAATCTGGTAACATTTGTCTGGCATGATGGGTTTAATCTAAATCCATGTTGGATTTACATTAAAATTTTGCTTGCCTCTGTGTTCACAGAGTTCTGCAGCCATCCATACATCTTACATGTGCCAAATTTGAAAAATACTGTTTTAAGATAACTGTCCATGCAGTTTTCCTCTCCACAAAAGATGAGTAGTTTGCATAGGTAGTGAGTTTTACTTTTGTGTCTGTATGGGGGTGTGTAACATTAAGTCAATTTTTGCTTCCTGGTGACTGTGTGAACTAGCAGCTTTTTTGGCAAAGGTTATTATAAGTGGTTTGCTCTTGCCTCCTTATAGGACTGAAAGAGAATGATTAGCACAAGTTCATCCAGCTGACTTCCTGCTTAAGACAAGATTAAAACTCACAGTCTCCCCAATTGGGCTATGCCAAACTGGCTCCTAATGGATTTTAATTACCCATTTTTTAAAAAATCAACCTGAAATATACACTAGAAGTAATCAGAACTATATATTATAGCTAGAAAAGTACCCTCTCCTCACTGCTAATAAAAGTTATTTAGGGAACAGTTGCACAGGAGGTAGCATACTTAAAACTGATGATCTGGTTGAGGGATCAGAAGAAATGCAAACCCTTCTTGACCTTAAGAAGGTTTGAACAGTATATTGGTAAACTTCCTTGAGTAGGAAATCCCCAGCTTTATGAATTTGAAAATGACATCCCGTAGAAAAGAAGGGCTAAATCTTTTTTATATTTTTGCCAAGAAAACTACATGGACTGTCATATAATTCACCAGAAGCCCAGCTTACCTGATTACTACACTTTACCCTACATGACACTTGCCTTATGTGAGATTTACCTTACGTGAGGCGTCATTTTTCTACTAGTGGGGAAACAAGTAAAGAATGCTTTCTTTATCAAGATTTTGAATCATCAGGATTCTAGATAAATGATTTGGAGGTTTGTGCAGAGGGAAAAGGAGATTTTTAAACTATAAATAAATATTTTCTTTCTTTGAAGTTTTCACTATTGCATCATACATTCAAAGAGAAATTGAGCTAGAGTCTGGCATTCAATTGTGAATTTTTTGGTTTTCATAGCTATGCCCTGTGGAAGCAAATCCAGTTTTGATCACCACAATATGAAAAGAATGTTGAGACTCTGGAAAGTGGGCAGAGAAGAGCAACAAAGATGATTAAGGAGCTGGAGGCTAAAATATATGAAGGATGGTTGCAGGAATTGCATATATTTAGTTTAGAGCAGGGTTCCTCAAACTATGGTCCATGGATCGGATAGGGCCTGCCAAGGCCATTAATCTGGCCTGTGCAGGACCACGAGGTTACCCCACCCACATCAGCCCCCACCCTTTGGCCGAGTACAGACCTTGGCAAGCCCTGCAGGTTGGAACTGGAAGGTAAGGCCAACAACGGGGGACGGAAATCCACCCCAGACCTGCTGTGCTCAGCCGAAGGGGAGGGGGTATACACGGTGAGGCTCAGCCACCTTTCGGGCCTGCCTCCTGGTTTCCGTGGGGCCTCCAGGCACTTACCCCCCGCTCATCCACGCCCCAGCACGGGGAATGTCAACTCTAGGTTTGCTGTCCATTGCAGCTAGGAATCTCAAATAATGCTGCAAATGAATGTGTTGTAGCCAGCACTAGATCAGGCCCCTTGCAAAGTCCTCATCTGCCAAGGAAGCCAGCTAAGGCCTTGCTTGCAGCCTATTCAAGCGCCTGGATTTCCGGTGATGGAGGGAGGGGCTGGAGCTACTAAATAGATGGCAAAGCTAAGTGCCTAAAGGACTCCATGCCATCTCTGGGAGTCCAGGCACCGCAGCGAGCAAGACCTCAGACAGGCTTCTCGAGAGACGAGGAGTTTGTAGGGGGCGATCTAGCACCAGACATTCATTCTCGGCCTTATTTGAGATTCCTAGCTGCAATGGACAGCAAAGGTAGGGTTGACCTCATCCGCTTCTCTCTGGACGCGGGTTACATCTCCGAGCCCAAAGTGGCGGGAGGCGAGGGCTGCTTTGGCACCACCAGCCTCTGGCTCTTAGCAGTATGTGGAGGACGTGCTCAAATTGGCGCTGAGACCAGGGCCTCAGGAGGGTGCAGGCAAAGACTTTTATGGATTTCTTTCTGCCTCGCAGAAGCAGAGACAGGCAGGAGGCTCAATAACACACAGCGTCCCAACATGGCACTCTCCTCTGAGGGACAGTCCCTCGCCCTCACCTCTGCCTAGGGCTCCGCATCCAGCCCGCAACTGGGGCACGCTCTGCTTCCGGGCTAGTTCAGCTGGCGGGTGAGCGAGCGAGCGGCCCTCAGTCTGAGGGACTGTGAATTGGTCCCCTTGTTTAAAAAGTTTGAGGACCCCTGGTTCAGAGAAAAGAAGGACTAGGTGTGTGACATGATGGCAGTGTTCCAGTATTTGAAAGACTGCCACAACAAAGACAGAAGTCAACCTATTCTGCAAAGGAACTGAAAGCATAACAAGAAACAATGGATGGAAACTAATCAAGGAGAGGCTTTTAAAAAGAGACTGAATAGCCACTTGTCTGAAATGGTATAGGGAAGGGGTGTCAAACTCAAGACCCTGGGGGTGCTTAGATCTGGCCCGTGGAGCTGGAAACAGCAAAGGACCAGGTCACAGTGCTTCTGCCAGGGAAAAAGGAGATCTGTTTTCGCTGGCAAAGGGTTGCAGGAGGCCATTGCAGCCGAAAACAGAGCTCAAGAGCCCGTCTCGGCTTGTCGTTCGTTCAGAACTGCGATAGGAAATAATCACCAGTAACACACAGAGAATCAGGGTTTACTTTGGCAATGATAAGCTTGCAGTCAAAAGTAAAGTACAAGTCGGTGTTTTGGTTCAAAGTCAGCGCTGGGTGTAATCACA